CAGTTACAAACCTATAAATAATTGATCAGGCGAATATAATCATCCAGTGAAGTGCTCAGACTATTATCGAGTTGCCTTAATCCACAGTCATAACACAGATCACAAACAGATATCTGTATGACCATTAACGAAAAAATCCTCTGGAATGAATTATCGCTTTATTTGGCATGACTTTTCTATTTCGTGGATTTGCATAACGACGTATTTTTATTTCAATTTTCTAGGTAGAGAATGAAGAGGTATCGTGGAAAATAACTTTTAAACATTTTGTACCAAAAACTTTACATTCAGAATACGAGAAAAATACCTTTTCACCTCCAAATCTGAGCTTTACATCGTGTCGTTGTTACTGATGATATTCTAAAACAGGTAATGGAGAAATCACTTATGTTCTTCATTTTCTCTTCGAAAGATAGAAGTATAGTGTGATTTATTTTTGAAATGAAATCAGGTTACTGAGAAACTTATTTAAATGAATGATTTAAATGAATATATGAATGAAATATTTATATACTTCAGAAGTTTAGCGTATTAGATATTTCTACGTTGATACTTTTCATTCCTTACATAATTTGAAACTGATACGTACTATAGATACGAATATAAATTATATTTGGACAACAAGCAAAGTAACCGAAACAAAAATAGATGCATGATAAAAGCATGATTACCACGCACATTGGCATCTATTGGGTATAATAAACAATCTTTCTTATGCTGGCCAATCAGTTTCAACTGCAATCGGCTGCTTTGATTCATTGTTACAGTGTGACACTGGTCAGTTACGTTTTGACGCCTGTGATGTGTGGTGTGTAGATATACGGTATTTTGAAGTTTAAAATATTTATAATGTTGAGTACTGATATGACTGATGAAACTACTAATTTTTGTCCCTACACTCCATCAAATTTTTTTTTTATACCCAGCCGTATTTTATTAAAAAAAAATTGGTCGTTCCTTAGTGTGACTCTGTACAGAAGCCGTGTCTGGGATATCACGTGTACTGTGCATGATAACGTTTTGGAGTAGTTCATTGCTTAGATGGACAGTGTATAGATCATTGTGGTGTGTAGATATACGGTATTTTGAAGTTTAAAATATTTATAATGTTGAGTACTGATATGACTGATGAAACTACTAATTTTTGTCCCTACACTCCATCGAAATTTTTTTTTATTTTTTATAAAAAAAAATCAGTCGTTTCTTAGTGCGACTCTGTACAGAAGCCGTGTCTGGGATATCACGTGTACTGTGCATGATAACGTTTTGGAGTAGTTCATTGCTTAGATGGACAGTGTATAGATCAACTGAGAATCTGCTCTCAATTGATTGACAAACTAAGAAAATATTCTATGATGATTCTTATTAACCTTCGAAAGAAGGTTAAAAACCACAAATAAATCAGTGAACATTGACTCCTCTACAAAAAATAATACCTTCTGAAATATTCACTTTAGTGAATATTTGAGTTAGCCAATGGAATGTATAGCTCTTTTCGAAAATTAAAAAACATGCTACTCATACATAACCCTCAAACTGCATTATTACTTATTACATAAATACAAATTAAAATACACATAAAATAACGACTACACGATCATGAATGTATTTGATATATTTTTCATTCCCCTGCTATGATGTACTGTAATACATTTCTATGAAGGAATCGCTTATTTTTTAGAAACTTTGACTCATAATTACATAACAATCCTAATGGATGCATGTGAGAACTCCAGCGCCCCAATGTTTTTGTGGGGTCTCAACGCATCAAATGAAAATAATATAATAATACATTAGGGATTAACGATAAATAACTTTTGAACGAAGTGTTAGGCCGAGGACGCGTGTTGCTCCTCCACACACGTGACCAGTCGCGTGCCTTCGAGTTTACTCCAATACCGATTCAAATTCAGTAATGGAATGAGTTCGAGAGTAGAAGAATGAAAACTCATAAGTTATGATGAGGAACAAAGTAGTACAGCTAGTGCAGTAAAACTTGTAGTCTCGTCAGGAAATAATGTAAAAATAGTTTTGAACTTGAAACAGAAGAAGAAAGTCCTGGGTCGAACAAGATTAATTTTGATACATGGATTTTAAATTTCGTGTGAAAAATCAGAACACAATCCACTTTTACTTCTTCTTCTAATAGGATTCACTTCTCAAAATTTAATTTGTCAATATGAATGAATTTATGCACGATCGATTTTTAGATATCCATACATAGGTTTGTTCTGGTTTACGAAATTCAGGTTCTAGGACGTCAGGATCATGCGCAGTTGATATATAGCGTTCTGGTTTATTGAGGATAATTTCGGATTGATGAATCCTCTGTTCTGGTTTCAAATACGAAATGATCCTAAACTGTCTTGAATCGTCCCGAATCGTTCTTGCTCTCGAGTCTGAACTGTTGGGAACTGTTCCCATTGATAATGCGCGTTCATGTGGAAATTTGTTTGGGCTATTTTCTAAGTTATTTTTCTATTTATTTAATTTGAATAATTGATGATTGAGATTAGATAACATTTGAACTGACTACAAGGATACGCTACATAACAAAATGGAAATGATCAACAGTATTTTTTCGTCTTCATCTCTTCATATATACGACAGTGGTCTCCTTAACCAAGTGTCCGAGACTATTTTGGATTGTTTGAGATTTTTTGCTCGTACACATCATGTCTTGCACAATTTTCAAACAGTTTCGGATGTTAGAACCAGAACAAACCTTATATATAGGTACATTAATCACCATTCACTTACATTCGTCACAACTCGAAAATAAAGTTATTATTCAACAAGAAGTTTCTATTGAAAACATGTACTTTCTGTGGAGGAGAGTTGGGGTTACTCAGTCATAACTTTTTTACAAAACTGAAACTTTCAAAAACATGCACACTCGAAATGGAAATGAGATTTTCACTGGAAATGAATCATGACCTCTTGCTTGAAACACAGTTGTGTCCAACTATTGTAACACCGGAGGTATGACGACAACGACAAGACATTTAATCCAAAATAACAGCCACAGTGGAGTAATGTGTATAATTACATATTATACCTACATATTCAGGATAGAGCATGATTTATTTTTCCGTTTCATAAATTATAGTTTGAGTTTCGAAATGATAAAGTGTCAAATGTGAGACAGATAAAAAAAGTGAGTAACCAGAAAATAATGTATCCTCTCACAAATTACGAAAGCGCCATCTATGATACCAAAAGAAAACAGGAGAGTTCATACCCTGAATTCGTTACCGAATCCATGGTTAGGTAACAAATGCAGGGTAACGAAAAAAAATGAAGAAGAAAACAAAGTACACAAAAAGTTCTTTATCGATATCAACAAATATGAAAAGACAGCAGTTAGAATCCATATGGCAGATGGAAACCAAAGTAGTTTTTCAACAAAAGAGTTATGTTGAATTACCAACCAGGCTTGAAGCTTCGGAAAACAGACCTGACATTCAAACAAGATTGATAATATGAATGTCAGCAACTGAATCAGATCACATTCATAGATTGGTATCGAAAAGAAACATCTGGTGAGAGCTTTTCTGACCGAAACTAACTGTAGGTGATTATTATGTGCTACTACTGAATAGGCAAAAAACATTTGCAAAAATTATTTCTCTGTTTTAAATTGCATAAGTAATCATTTTTCAGCAGGCATTTGCCAGATATCACTGTGTAGAAACATTGAGGAAAGTGAATGATCAGTGTGAACATTCATTTGGATGGTTTATCGACACAATCATTAGATTGATTTGATTTCAGTCTAAAGTAATTTGTTAACTAGAATCTGATCTTAGAGGAGTTTCATACATCATCTTCATGAGGATCTGATGGGATCTATAGACCTCGGGCCGCACTGCAGGTTGCTAGATGGTCGCTTGGAGGGTGGATGGTAAAGGTGGATGGTGGAGTGGAATTCATTGTTCTTTAAAGGTCTTGATAGTTTCAATAGGTTACCTGATGAAATAAAACATGTAAATTCCTTAAAAGTATTCAAAAAGTTATTATTAGAATATATCAAATTGTAATACATGACGCACTGTAAATATGTATACGTATATAAATTATTCATATATGCCTAACTATATATTGTATATTAGGGTTCCTAAAATAAAGGTTATGTTGAAATTCCATGCCAAACTTCAGTTGAACTATCAGCTGTCAGCTGTTCCAATCAGAAATTTCAAATTAATCAGAAACCAATATCTACCAGACATGTGTTCCAACGTGAGTTTCCAACCATTAGTAAACTATCAGTTTTCTGTTCCATTCAAGATTCAAACCTGTTCGAAATCTATCAGAATGGTTTGAGGATTATCTTCTAACCATTAATCCGACGCATGCGTATTCCGTATTACTGTTTCTGTTTTATGTTCATGCAACTTGCAAACAACATAACCCGCGAAAATTGTTATAAAATAAATTATGTATTTGTTGGCGAAGGAAAAATTAGGAATTCTTTAAGTGTACCTAAAATATAAACATCTTTAATTATACAAATTAATTATTGCGGTGACCTACTTTCCTCCAGTTCCATGTTGATTAGTAAATAGAATAGAGATAAAAAATACTGCAACCTTTTTTTACTCTTCAGAAATACACTTGATTAGTTTTTTTTTTAAAGCTTTTGTTGCCAAACTTCAGTTTGAACTATCAGCTGTTCTAATCAGAAATTTCAAATTAATCAGAAACCAATATTTAACAGACATGCGCGTTGACAACGATTTACAAACTGTTGGAAATCTGTTGGTGACTCAAGGTTGGAACGAACCTAGTAAAACGAAAAAAACTCGAATAGTGAGAGCTCTGCTGAATTGTGTTTATTCTTGTATTATTCCTATTCTAAAAGTTGAGTGAAATAATCTTTTCGAATTCCACTCCTTTTTCTTATGATTTCTGTTTAGGCTTTCATGAAAATTACTGAACTTCATACACCATGATATCATTTTGAAGTTCAATTCAGTTCAACTAACTTATTTTTGTTTCAGGATTGTAAGAAATAAAGCAGCTGAGAAAGCGAAACATGCGCACCATATAGCGACAAGTAACGCTGCCTCAGCGGTGAGTGGAGGACCTGTATCTGTGATCGCGCATGCGCCTGCTACCCAACTCAATGAACCTAGATCGGGAGCATATAGTATAAATGGTATCTTAGGCTTACAACATGACCCCAACGGAAATAGTATAAAACGGAAAAGGATAGACGAACATGGTGAGTTCAATTTTTTTTTGGAAACATTACATTGTTTGTTACAATTCCTTTGATCGTTGTAAATGAGAGATTAGAATCAGCCTGAAAGACGTTTTTAGCTTGAACAAGTGTTTAGTTCTACGAGTAGTTGATTTTCGAGAGAGCTTCTGTAAAGGCCGCTTCACACTCAGCAGTGACAGTGCCGTCACCGGCAAGTGATTCTTACTGAACATGATTCAAATTCACATCGGTCTGTGTTTTCTTCGAGAAAAAGCAGAAGTATGGAAAAGGATGGAATTCAAGAGGAATTTGCTACCGCGAATATACTGGAAAAATGAAGAATATACCTAACGACAGTGAAAATCGAAAAACAACTTTGCAAATCAAAGTGAAGATCACGGTACATCGTCGGCGAGCGCACTGAATAATTGAATGCACTTTCATGTGCTTTCCTAGAATAAACAGTTTCTTCAAATTTCCAGAGGAATATTTTCGTTCTGACCGGGCTGTCATTTGCCGGTCGCGACACTGTCACGTCATTGCTAAGTGTGAAGCGTCCTTAAGACATTGAATGAGACGCGACAATAGGTGATCGCAGGCAGAAAAATCTTAAAAACCAACTAATTTTACTGAAAATGGTAATGGTGAGAAAACCCATGAACGTAAAATGTTCCTGACAGGAAGGTATAAGTAGCTGAAGTATATCATATAACTAGTGATATTACACCTAGATACTTTCCAATAATTCAGAACTAGCAGCATTTTCGGAATCATACTGTGTCTGATTCTCTGAGTACGCCTCCTAAAAAATCCGAACCCTAATTTTTGTGCTTATTCAACTTTCAAACAACGTTCATCGCACCTTTGTCAAATTCAAGAAAGCAAATTGGAGCAAACAAAAGTTCGGCTTTGTGATTAGGAAATCCACGAGGATATTGCATTTAGCGCGAATTCCATCAGCGTGAAACAAGTGAGTGCGGCCTTCCGCCTTCGCTCTGACCAATCAGCGCCGCTGTCGGATTATGAAGACATCACACGCGTTGCTACGCGACCGCGAAACCCCCACAGCAACCCGAAATGAACGGTCGCCAAACCCCCGAACGTGCATATGTTTACGCAGTTTCCCTTTATTGAAGCAAAATAAGGGATGACGAAAGTTACGGCCGAAAAGTGGTTCTAATGGAGAACGCTGCTCATGAATTCCATGGACCAGTATTCAAGATACCTAGTGAATCTAAATAAATTTAAAATCCTTCAAAGTAGAGAATAAAAATATATGGTATCAAAAGGTTTGTAAATCAAAGAACTGATTCACAAAAATGTTCATCGGAGAAACGAAGAGAGATAGGTATACAATATTTCAGGACCTACAGCAACAAACGATACATCTCCATTACGTGAAGGTCAAAGTTAAATAGAAGAAGGCGATGATATATCCCCTTACAAGAACTTTTTTTACCCAGGATAGTCCTTCAGGGACAGTTAAATCCAGCAATGTACTCGTGGTTCAGGCTAGCACCACTGATGAGACCTGTGTATCACAACAACGCTGTTTGGGCTAGGATCACGTATGCTTGGTTTTTGGCACTGGTTTCGATTAGTTACCTTGCAGTTAAGGTTGCAATGCAAAACAGACGACGAATCTCGCTCGAAGGTGGATGTTGAAGCTAGGCCTTGCAACATATCGTTTTTATGAGGTATATTTATGTTTGATTGAGTTTACGTTGATCCCATAGATGGTGTCATCGTATGGGTTGATAGTAACTTACTCAGACTTGTCCACCAAGCTTGGGGCTAGCATCATTGATGACACCTAAGGTAGGTTGGAACAGTTATCTCTAGAAATGAATCACGAATCCTTTGTTTTTAAGCTCTGGTTTCGACTGGTCACCTTGCAACGAAAGCTGCAGAAAAGGATAAATGAGGAATCTCGGTTGGCGATCAATACTGAATCAGCTTTGTATTGAGTAAACAGTTGAGTTCAGCAATGCACTTGTGGTTCAGGCTAGTACCACTGAAGAGACCTGTATGTCACAATAGCGCTGTGGGGTAGGATCACATATGCTTGATTTTTGACACTGATTTCGATTAGTTACCTTTCAGTAAAGGCTGCAGTGCAAAACAGACGACGAATCTCGCGATACTGAAGCTTGGCCTTGCAACATATCACTTTTGTGAGGCATATTCATTTTTGATTGAGTTTTCTGTCGATTCCATAAATGTAAGGGTTTAGCTTAGTATCATTGATGACACCTATGGTGGGTAGGAACATTTCTCTTTAGAAATGAATCAAGAATCCTTTGTTTTTGGGCTCTGGTTTCAACTGTTCACCTTGCAGTGAAAGCTGCAGAAAAGGATAAAGGAAGAATATCGATTGGCGGTCGATGCTGGATCAGCTTTGGAAGCTTCGTATATCTTTACTATTCGTGAATAAGGTCCTTCTATCAATCTCATGAATGGTGTCTACGTACAAGAATATGTTATGGCCTTTTCTCACACAGACTTGTCCTTTAAGTACAGTTATATTCATGGTTATAACACTGATGAGATTTATGGTGGACTGAAACAGCCTTGTATGGTGTTGGATCTATCGGCAATCTGTTGTATTGAAACTGGTTTACCACTAAGCGTGAAGCATTCTCATTCATATCGATTTTAATGACTTTGCCCTTAAATAAATTTGTATTACTGGTTTTTATATGATGATGTGATTATGGTGTATCAATCCGTTCAAGTAGCCTGGTGTGATTTTTCTGAACTTTTCCATGGTCATTATATTATTCCATATTTTGTTGAATAGATTTTATGGCGGAATGACTATCTGGTTTTGTAACAAGAAGAATACTTGCTCTTTTGTTTGCATTGTAAGCCATGAAACTGTTATGATGACATGAAATGAAATGCATATCTGTCTTGTAAGATTTTTCTGATTCAGGCCCATTGCTCTCAGTACAGAAAAATTGAAATTACGGTTTCGTATTGTCGTTCATTCATCTTTTCAGTTCAGAGTCCTAAATATCAACTGTTTCTTGAACAAGAAAGTATACGACTCAACTAAAATCTGAAATAACTCTTTCTTGATGTATTGTTTCAGTGAAATAGTCTTCCCCAATCTGAAAATGATGGAAAGATATTCAATTTAGAAGTGGCAGACTACTGACAGTATTTAAATTTGATCCGTTTTTAAGAACGGTTTTCTTTTACCACTGCAAATCGTATTATGAATCTGCTTAAAACCAACTATGATACAGGAACTACTTATTTTCATAATTAACTTCAACGATTTAGAAATCAAACTTTATCCTCATTTTCTTAACCGAACAGTATAGGTACTATTCAAAAAGTCATAAATAATTACCTTTCTCGTGAAATCCATATTTTATAATTCTTCAGCAGGACTGATTATGTACCATCCATTTTGAGTGAATATTTCTGAACATCAATAACCTGACCAGAAAATAGGGATATATCAGTGAAGGATTTTTTTATTATGCGTAAATGTGTTCCAATGATTCGAAACAGTTTATAATGTCTATTTCTGCTATTGGTACAAAGTTCATCTCATCAAACTTCCGGATCAAAATAGAAGAATTTTGGTACTAAGCTGGGCATGTGATATTAACCAATTTCCAATCAAAGGCACTTTCAGTATGTAGGTAATTATGATAGACCAATTTCGCTGGTTGTCTTAATTTTAGGCAAGAAATGTGTACCACATTGACAGCTTTACTAACAATTCCTTGTTTGGAATACTTGGAACAACTCCAAAACAGGTTCAGAATTTGTCTCTCATCTATAGATATTTTGAAGAAAAATGTTAAACTGGTTGTTCGTTTGATTCCTTCAGGAGAGGTTTGTGTTAGAGTACATTGAGAAGGAAACACCTCACTTTTCCAAAGAATAGTTTCTAACGGTACTCAAATTGATTGTATTGTCTTTTTCGCTCAAGGATCGCTTCGGACGCTTATAGTTTTTCTTTTTCCTGTAATGCATATCAGTAAATGTGGAGTAACATGAGTATATATGTATGAGCAAACAGTGACTACAGTGAAATCACAGTAATAATATTAATTTTTTCAATTCAAGGCCATCGAAAGATATATACGTATAGCAATACACTATATACGAGTTTTTTATGACTTCGTTTTTTGTTTTCTAATTCGACCGTATTTTTCCACACAATGGAGTCTTTTTGGTATTTTACTCGAGCTAATACATCAAAACATTATAGTTTGATACTCCCCGATAGGAAACAAGTCGCGAACACATGCATTATTATAGCGCTTCACGCATGGTGAGCAGCTTTGGGTCCATCTATATGCCTTGCGCGCAGACCGTGAGATTTATAAATTTATATTTTGACTATTCCATTCTGCAATTCAGGGGATAAATTATTATGAACCCTAACACAACACATTTAGGGGACTTCTTGGATCAGATTACGGTTTGATTGGATTCCCTTTTCAAGGATCTACTCATCAATTTCGAAATTAATAATGGAAATAAAAAAAGTTTTGAATATTTTAGTATCATTTGTTCCTCACTATGGAAGTTATCGTGAATTTAATGAGTGACAATATTAGAAGAAAGTTAATAGTTTCAAAACCATTACTATAATCGTTTAATAGATATCTATATTGGAAATAATCGAATACATTTCAGAAATGTGGGCCAAAGCCATCGAAATAAATGAGTGCTGGTATTAAATTTGTTTCTTTACCGAAAAAAATTGGTGGTTACCATATCAAATATGTTATCAACCTATTCAAATTTCTCTTTACATATTTTCATTCTCTCTTGGTATCTATTGCACCAATATTTTGATGATTCATTTAATATCACGATATGAATTGATTGGTTTGAAATTATTTTTTTAGCATTTTCAGTTCGGAAAGGAATACCGAAATATTTCCAGCAGTTCATTTTAGATACAAATTTTCTTTTGATACCGCTGAGTACTTTTTGATTGAGTAAATGATTCATCTCAATGACTGTGATATCTATCAGATCAAATGTTTCAT